GGTTCCATACTTTAGGTACCTCAAATGTGTGCCTTATTCTACTCATAGAGTTAGATGCGTAAGTTCTTCAGTGAGGATGATGCAAATTTGCTACTCCTAATAAAGATTTCTTTGTTTATCTTTTCTAGCATTCAGTGGTTCATTTCATTTGGAAATTAAGCTACAGTGCCCTGTCCTCTACTAACTTAGCCTTGTGGATTTATGGTACCTACCACTTAGACTACCTCAGTGTCAACTTCGGTATTTAGGTCCCTGCCTTGCTTATTTAGGTGCCTGCGCATATGTCTGCTTTACTGGGTTTGCTGTGTGTGCTACCACGAAAAAAATCTGTGAGCTTCCAAGTTAGGTGACTACCTACGTTCCTACCTCCATGTGTTTAGTTAGCCAAGTATTCCACTAAATTTTCTGTGTTTTCTTTTGTCAGGTCCACGATTCATCCTAAGTCTCTATTCTTGGACACTTCACTAATTTCGGAGCATCATCGCCAGATTTGGGTTCCTCATCTTTAAGCTGCATAAATATCAAGAAACTTATCGTTTTCATTGCGACAAGAGAAATTTTACAAAGCTGTAAAAGAACATGTTGGTTTGCAAGACTTAGGTTCAGTTCCAGGTAGAGGAATGCAAGACTTAATATGGTTCAGTTTCAGGTACAGGAATACAGGACTTAATATGGTTCAGTTCTATCCTTTAATTTCAGATATCCAAATCTATCTTTAGATAGTGACATGAACTAAAACTCTGAACTTCTATCTGTACAGTATTACATACCATGATATGTCCGGGCAACTTTATTTTTTGTTTTTTTGCAGCTTAGCAACTTTTTACTATGATAGAACCTAAAACTTTCGTTTCTACAACTAGGTGCAATTATGTGACATGAACATCCGTATCTGAATTTTACTAATACAAGGAAATGCCTGCAACGTTGTCCTTGTTTTCAGTATGAGGTTCCTTGATCAAGCTTTGTACATATGCATATATTTCTGAGGCCTCTAAAACTGTAAAAGGTTTCCTTTGTGATCTTCTTTGCCTATGATCTAGGGCCTTTGCCTTGCAGTCTTCTGTGCCTGTGATGATAGCTGACATATCCACGTTCCACCTGCATAGTGAAAACATCTTTGTACTGTGCTTTTTTCTTTGCCATGGCCTTTGCTTGTGATGAACCTGCACATTTTTAGTTGCCGCTGGCTGTGATTAAATGTGACTTACGTCTGCTTGTCATTCTAATGTTTTCTAACAATTTTTTTCCTCTAAACACATTTGCCATTTTCCCCTTCTTCATGAGCCTGTGATAAAAATTCCGTATCTTTTGCTCAAGGATATGATCTGATGTTCATTCGCTTGTGAGGCACTGGGCATGACCTGTTAGTTAATTATGCAATTTCTTTGAGTAACCCATTTGTCAACATGCCTAGAAGCTCCAAGTTGATGACCAAATGATGATTTGATTGACAGATTACTGAGGCCTCTAAGAATCTTGTCTTCGCTGGGAAAAAATGCAGACCTTTTATACTGATCCATGTTTATTTTTTCCTGATATTTATGCAGCTTAGCAATGTGTTCGTCTTGTTTCCCAGCAATTCTTAAGCCTTCGTCCACTTAGTTGTGTGCTACTCCTTTTCCCACATTTGTTGCAGTACTGCTTCTTAGATAAGAATTGTAACTCAACCATCGAGTTTGTTCTTCGGTTTCTAATAAGGTCAGCTCTTGTTGCCTACGACAAAATACAGCTATTTATGATTTGGGCTCTAAAGTTAGCCAAACTATTCATGTCTATGCTCATTCCAGATATAGCTGGCCACATATTTGTTTCAGAACTGACCTTTAAATATAGGAGCTAATACTTTGAAAAGGAGAACTTCATAGGCTGCATGCTTGCCACATAGGTTTTACCTTGTCAATTCTTGTTCGCCTTAGTTCACCTTCATTTTGTCTTCAGGGTCTCAGGTGACATGTGGTTAGATTTTTCTGACATGTGGTTAGATTTTAAAGACATGTGGTTAATTTTTTTTTCAGGTGACAGCTGCCAACCTAGGCCTCTCCATGACAAAATTTGTTGATGATAGTTTCCGATGGAGAATTTGATGATTTCAGAAGAAGATTGATCATGTTCCTTGGTCATTGGTATGTTCACAGCTCCCTTCTTTCTCAGTCCTCCCTATTTTTCATGACATTTGTAAATTTTAGGTTCTGCGGGAGTGCTTCCTGTCTAAAATGATGCGACGAAATTGACTGATTAGACAATGTGCATATGTTGTCCGAAAGGAAGGCAGTGACAAAATTTACAGCAGTTAGTTCTTTGATCTATCATGTGCCTACAGAAAATGAGCATAGTGAAATCAAAAGAGATTTATCGCTCCATGATATTTTCCGATCCAATTAATACTCCCTCCATACTAAAAAATGAAGTCATTTTGGATAGCGACACGGTCTCCAAAGCATAACTTTGACTACTTATTTTTATAAAGATATTTATCAAAAAGTGATATATGTAAATTTTTGTGAAAGTATTTTTCAAGACCATATGGTTTTCACATTTCCAAACTCAACAACTTAAAAGTTATTCATGATTTATATTCTCAATGTTTGACCCAAGCCTTGTCCAAAACGACTTCATTTTTTAGTATGGAGGGAGTATGTTGTATTTTCTAGGTTGGGTTCCCTTGCTGATCTAGGGGCAACACTTTCTCAATCCTGGAGAGGACACTTTCCCAAGTTCAGTTCATCGTTTTGGTGAGTTATGCTCTTCCTCTGCCCTTCTTCATGTTATCCTGGGAATGACAGTGATTTTTGATAGAAATTTTTTTATTGCCACCGCAGCACTGCCTCATACTGTTCCAGTTAACTGGTTACCACATATCTAAATCTTGCTGCTTCTTTTAACTTCAGGCATGTATGAACCCCATTATAGTTTCAGACTTTCGGTACTACATATCTCTGCAAATTGTACAAAATAATAAGTGTTGTCCACCTGCAGTTTTTTTTAACATACATACTTTCTCTCAGATCACCAATTTAGTCTCCAATTACACTTTGTTTCGCTACATTTTATTCAAACACAAGCTAGATGGAATCACAGCTGAACCTGCATCTCAGCGAAGCAAAAAATCGCACTCCACTCTCTTGTTCTAAAATTTGTTGCCCGTAGGTTCCATACCGTGCTATGTCAGGAAATATAACATTCAACGTATGAATTTGGTGTCAGCTTTTCAAGTTTGCCTTCCTAGGTCATAAGATCAGGATGACAGTCAAGATATCCGATCAGCCATGACTGATTACTGCATTAGCTATACTTACTAACGGATTGCTAATTCGGTAATCCAAGTCTCACTGGGATAGGTTAGAGGGTTAGGTCTTCGCTAACATTTATGTTTGTTTTTTCCTTCACTAACAGATTTGTGTTCGGTAATCCATGTCAGTAATAGCCAGGTTCCGAGTCTCACTTCTCCCTCTTAGTCTCTTCTATGTGATAGCCAGGTGCATAGTGGTTGGATACAGAGGTTTATGGAACAAAAGGGAGCACTATTTATGGTTTCTTCTTTCCTGATTTTTTTAAAAATAAATAATTTGTTCTAGACCTGCATAAGATCTGTGTACCTGCTTCTAACCTAAAGTGATTCTTCTGGTTTGCTATGTACTTGATCTGTTTTGATTGGTTAGGAACTATGATTCATACTGCATTGCTGCAATACATGATTTAGGAGGTACATCCTGATCAATGTCTACTTCCTACTGTTGCCGTGGTAATTCTTATGCAATGCCGCAAATCATGAACAAGATGACAGTGGTGAATGTTTCTGTGATTATTCGTCTTCACAATTACGTATGGTTTAAGCTATGCAGCACCTCTAATTGTCCATCTCATCTTTTTTCAGGTGTTCAAGAAATAAAAAAGAGAGATGTGAGCTTTGCCGGACTTATCTGACCATAGAATTCGTGTTATAAATGTACTTGCATTTACTTTAATTTTGTTCTTCTTCCTACTGCCTTACAAAACAGGAAGTCTCGGCTTCCTTGCAAATTTCACTCTGTACTTCGTTACCTGCGGTCCAGAGTTAGGCAAAAGAAAGGTTTAGGTTCCTATATGTACCTCAATCATTTTTTCCATTCACTCAAATTATGAATATTCAATCACAACCACTCCTACTTCTATCGTGCTCTGTTATTACACTTCCAGTGAGCGCAACGATAGCACACCTACCATGCTAATGTTTCTTATGAGGCCGCACGCTTTCTACTACCAATGTACGTGTAGTCGCTCTGTATGACATAACCATGTTCGCATCGGCCCCCTAATCCTGTTACCTTGCGGTCCGCGCGCGATGGCGCGCGCCTTTCACTAGTATATTATAAAACGCGCCGGTTACAATAAAGCCACCTCAACCAAAAGACAAACATCTGTCCCAAGCAGCACCTGCTCCAAGTGCACACCCTAAAAAGTTTTTTCCCCCTGAAACCGTTAAACCATGTTCAGCTGGCATGCATACCCATTTCATTATTTTTCATTTTTGAAGTGCTAAGGACCGCATTTCTGTTTCAAAACCAAGGATTATAATTCCGGTATATTGAGGTTAAGCATTCTTGTCATGCTTCTTGGGCTTGGGCAGCACGCATACATGTTTCAGGAAGTCTCATCAGGCACAAAAGCAAGTCTAAAACTCTGATGTAGGTCTAAAAAATGTAAGAAGTTGATCCTTCCATCTATTCTTTTTTTTTCGCGACCGCGCTTAGGCACATTTTTCATTAAAGGAAAGAAGATTTACAACAAATGGTCTTAGTAAGCCAAGGCTTACCAAAACCAGCACGATCCCTGTAACGTTTCACAGGGATCAAGAATTCATAATTAGGCAATTACATACAAACAATTCACGACCAAGACCAAGACCACTATCAACTCTAAGAGAAGCAACGGACGTAGTAGCACAGCTAGCCACTGAAGGCGACACCTCTAGGCAACTGAGATCTTTGTTTGTTTAGGAAAATACCAATGCAGTTCTCTCACAGAGATGATTGGTGTGCATATCTTTTCCACCTCCCAATTTTCTCACATCCCTAGAAACAGTTTAAATAATTAGGTAAATAGATCAAGTGACCATAGTTGCAGGTATAGATGCCGGTTGAGTAGCTGATCAGTGCTCATGCATTAAGAATGTGATAATGTGGCCAAGCCATGCCGACAGAAACTGTGGGCAACATGAAGTGTCTTTGTACTATATAAGATGACTTATAATGAGAAAACGATGTGTACCTTCCGTGGTTTAATGGCTAGCTCATTGTCTTCCATAAGAATGGCCTTCAAACCCAGCGGTTCCAATACCTTCTGATAACTGATGTTTCAGAAAGGACAGTTATCAGCACAACAGTAAAGAATAATGTTACAATTTTTGTTTAACAATACAGAAACTGATGGTTCCTTTTCTTGTCAAAAATAAAGCAGTCATGTTACCAACAACAATACAAAGTTTTTAACTGATGACAAAGGGATGGATATTCTTACTCAGCAACTGTATTATTGTAAGGTGGTCCTCCCTCTTGATCACTTATCTGTAATATGATATGAAGCTGTGTAAGAACTTCCCATCATGGTGAGCAAAGCAATTGAATACCATTCAAGAAGCTAATGATATCAACCATGCATACAGATTAATTTTGGTGTGCAGTGCTGTACTAATACTTGTATTCAACTTTTCCATATTTCTGCTTTGTCTTTCCTATTAGAGTAATGACACCAAATGGACAAAACATACTGAGACAGGAGGTATTATGATTTTTATCATGTCTTTGTCCAATGCCAATCACTTGAGCTGATTCACACAAAATACAACATGTTCATTCATTACTTTCAGGGCCATCTCACTCTGAAAGCCCTGAAACACACAGGGCACATGAAGATGAGACCAATGGAGAATACATAGGTGTCTGGCTGCTTTTGGGTACTTCTGAACTGTCAAGCACTAAGGTCAGACTGAGTAAGCAAAATCCCTGCTCTGAATCTGATTTACACCAATCTATCAACAATGCACCCACTTTTCTCACTTTCCTCATGGCCCATTAATACAGATTCTACAACATTCCCCATATTCTATTCATTGCCTTCAGAATGTATCCTACCAACATAACTTCCAGTGGAGTACATCATATTGTAATCCCTCAAAGATGGAAAGAGCTAACAACACAACCTTCTAGGATTAGAATACATATAAAATTAGGGTAGGTAATTACGAGTAAATGAGATAATTGAAACTTTAAAGTTCAGTTTGAAGAAGAGGGCATCATATGATTTGTACAATGAGTGGAAGCGGGCGGTTCATGCAAAGACACACAGATCAAAGATTACATCCTCACCAGATAAATCAAGGCAAGAAGCTCTCCATCTGGTTTTAGAAGCCGGTTAACTGTCTCTCCCCAAGCGACCCTCAAGCTCGGGTCAAGTGCACAAAAGAACCTGCACACATCGATACATACAATTTGAGCTGCCATCAAAATAATAAACTGATAATATGTGTGACACCTACGTGTAATCAAATATAAGATCGAATTGTTCGCTCGGTATCCACTTGAAGAAATCTTCAGCCAGAAAAGTAAAATAATCTGCATTGGGCAAAGAGGATGACCACTGTACACCAATGGAGAAGACAATCAGACACAATTATCCTAAAATCAGAAGACAGTTTTTAAGACAAAAGGTATAGTACAAAAGCTGTATTACAGGTGTGATGATTGGAATAATGTATATTTTATTTGCAAACAGACTCAACATCAATTATCTGTAAAGTGGGTTCGATCAAGCCCACACAAGCATTTTTGATTAAAATTTACAATTCAGGAGTTTTTTTTTCCTGGGGGGGAGAGACCTTATCCACATAACAGGAAAACCATAAAGTTGCCGTTTCTTAACAATATATGGTTCGTTTTGTGATTAACATTAATTTGGAAAATATATTTTATGGCATATATCAAGCGCAACCACTAGGAAAACAAGAAGAAATTAGTTAAGATATCAAGCAGGCCAATTCTCATGATACCTTCCCTTAGCTAATAAGTGATAATCAACTACTGGTCATAAGCATACCTGCTTAGCCTTCTTGACAGCCAGATCAGAAATATCCAAGCCAACAACAAAACGTTCAGGACTTGCCAGGGCGACCACGTCATATCCCTGTTATACAAAAGCAACTCAATCTGGGGAAATAAGCTAAAATCTAAGTTCCAGTTTGTAATATATTATTATAATGCCAGCAAAATGGGTTCCTTCTTATAGTATTGTCATACACTTTTAGGTTTCTAAAATGGTATGTAGTACAGTACACTATCACACATACAATCTTCAATGAAAAGGTTGATATTGCTAATGGTATTATGTCAGTTGGGTACTGTTGTCAAGGCACATCACATCATCTCTCAGTGACTACAAAGGATAAATGGAGAAAACTAGGCACATTCTATGACTGGTGTCCTAAGGTGAAAGTAATAGTCAGATTTTAGTCATGAGCTTGATTACTGGGGAGAAACTAGGTGGAAAACAATAGTGGTGGAACCATCTGACAGAAGAATGAAATAATTTACCATTCCACATCCAGGAACCAAAGCTCTTCCTTTTGGGAGTGTTCCTGATCTAACAAGATGTTCGATGACAGGTGTTGGCTTTCCCAGATCCCACGGGGTCACACCAAACTCCCAGGATTTCTCCCACCCATCTGATGAACAAATAATTCAGAAAAGGCAATTCAGAATCAGCAAGCTCACATGCATGATAAATACAAGGCACAAAGTTGAACTGGAAGTCTGGAATTTAACAAGAAAGTACACCCTGTGATGCATCCGGCTGGTGATTTTGTCTGCTGACAACCTAATTTGAGACTGCAACTGTGTAGCCTACTCATCAAAATGGCGACCATTGCTCTACTGGAAATATCATTGGCTACTTTATCAGCAATGCAACGATGGTTTCAGTTTTTCAGAATACAACATTTACCTTATAAATACAGACAACATCTTCAAGCGCCACCAACTGTGGTTTTATTTTGTTCCTCACCAATTGCTGTGCTTCAACTTCAACTGAGATAGCTTGAGTTTCAGCTCCTCCATTTTACTCTCACAGCTGGAATTTGCTCCAGCATTGCCTCTGTAGCAGCACTGGAGCATCCCCAACAGCTCGACCACACCACCGTTTGTCCGTTTGTGATTCGTCGCCATTTGTTAGGTCATTGCTCTGTTCAAGCTCCAACTAACGAGAAACCCCCATCTACTCGCCCCAGCCCACTCCACCGATCAGGAACCCACGCACATCGGCACGTGCACACCCACCCCGAGTACAGGCAACCAGACCAAACGCTAGCGACCACTCCTTCGAATTCGTCTCCCCAACCCCGACCCGCAACAATCAGCAACGAGACTACGAGAGAGACGAATCATGGCCACCCTCACCTGCCGCGTCGCCTGTGAAGAGCTCCCGGAGTCTCCCCACCGCCGGGTTCTCGCCGGGATCCCTTCTGCCGCCCGCCGCCCTCGCCGGCGCCGACGACCCCATCGCCCGCCGCGGCCGCGCGCGCGAGGCCAACAACCACCAGCGCACAGGCTTGCCTGCGCGGGGCAGCGCTCTCATACGCAGAGCCGCCACCCGCCAGAGGGGACGGAAAGAGAAAGAGGGGAAATAATTTATATTTCCAAAAGAAAAATATGTCGATACGGATAGGATAAGATAATTATTATACAGACAAAAATAAAAAGGAAAAAGAAATAGAGCTGTCGACTAGTATATCACTTCGCTGTGCAGCTTCCCGTGTCTCTCGTCCCCACTCCGCCCGCCCCTTCACCCGCAGGCCACATCCCCCCTCTCCTCCTCCCCTCAACTGCCCCCAGCCCGCGCAAGGGAAAGGAAGGGAAAAGGGCTCGACGACTTTGCCGGACGCGGCGGCGCATCCCCCATCCCGTCCCACCCCACCCCCCATCGCCGCGTCGCATCGCATCGCATGGCTGAGGACGCCGCGGCGGGCTCCCCGCTCCTGGACCTGCCGGAGCCGCTGCTGCTCCACATCCTGTGCTTCCTCACCGACGCGCGGTCGCGGCACCGCGCCGCGCTGGCGTGCCACCGGCTCCTCGCGGCGGAGCGGGCCACGCGCGCCGCGCTCTCGCTGCGCGGGGACCCACGGTCGCAGGCGTTCTTCCTCCTCACGCCGATGTTCTTCTTCCCGGCGCTGGAGCGGCTCGACCTCTCGCTGGTGTCGCCGTGGGGCCACCCGTTCCTCTCCTCCGCAGCGCCGTCCGCCGACGCCATCGCGCCGCCCGTGGCGGCGGAGGAGGTCGCGGGGCAGAACGCCTTAATCGCGGCGCGCCTCGCCTACTGCTTCCCCGCCGTGTCCTCGCTCGCCGTCTACTGCCGCGACCCCACCACGCTCGCCAGCCTCACCCCGCACTGGAGGTCCCGCCTCCGCAGTGTCAAGCTCGTGCGCTGGCACCAGCGCCCGCCCGGCCTCGATGCCGGCGCGGATCTCGAGCCGCTCCTCGGGGACTGCCCCGCGCTCAGGGCGCTCGACCTCTCCGAGTTCTACTGCTGGACGGAGGACATCGAGCCGGCGCTTGCGGCGCACCCGGCAGCCGCCGCGGCGCTCACCGAGCTCGACCTCGGCCTCGCGGGCGCCACGGACGGGTTCCACGCCACCGAGCTGGGGGCCATCGCGGGATTCTGCCCCAATCTCCGCAAGCTCGTGGCGCCCTGTGTGTTCAATCCTCGGTACGTTGACTTCGTCAGCGACGACGCGCTTCTCACCATCGCCACCAGCTGCCCCAAGCTGGCGATCCTGCGGCTCCGGGAACCTTTTGAGCCGGCGGCTACCGGCCAACGTGAGGACGCGGCAATCACCGTCGCAGGGCTGGTCTCCTTCTTCGCTGCACTACCGGAGCTGGAGGATTTCACGCTTGACCTGCGGCATAATGTGCGGGAGACAGCGCCGGCCATGGAGGCGCTTGCCCGCAGATGCCCACGGATCAAGTTCTTGACGCTGGGGAGCTTCCAGGGCTTGTGCAAGGCATCTTGGCTGCATCTGGACGGCGTTGCTGTGTGCGGTTCGCTGGAGTCTCTATGCATCAAGGGATGTTTGGATCTCACTGACGCCAGCCTTATCGCCATAGGTCGTGGGTGCGGGAGGCTTGCTAAGTTCGCGATCCATGGCTGTGATTCTGTCACATCAGCTGGGATCAGGAGGCTAGCGATGGCGCTTCGGCCCACAATCAAAGAAGTCAGTATCTTGCACTGCCGGCTTCTGGACACTGCAGCATGCCTCACTGCTCTAAGTCCGATCCGTGATCGCATTGAGAGTCTTGAGATCAGCTGTGTCTGGAAGGAAGTTGAACAGCCAGAGAGTGTGGCCAACGGCACAATCGGATGCGATCATGAAGATGATGATCTCGGTGAAGTGAGATATGAGTCTGCATCGAAGAAATGTAGGTACATGGAATTGGATGATCTAGTCAGCTGGGAGATGCTACGTTCACTCTCCCTCTGGTTCCCTGCTGGCGAGGTACTCTCCCCACTCATATCTGCGGGCCTTGTTAGCTGCCCTGTTCTGGAGGAGATCTCAATTAAAGTGGAGGGTGATTGCCGTGCACGCCCTGGCCCATTCTTTGGCCTGAGTGATCTTGCAGGCTTCCCAGTACTGGCCAAGATGAAATTGGATCTGAGTGAGGCAGTTGGTTATGCTCTTACTGCACCAGCAGGCCAGATGGATCTCTCTCTGTGGGAGCGATTTTATTTGCAAGGTATAGATTCACTAGTGACTTTGTATGAGCTGGATTATTGGCCTCCCCAAGACAAGGAAGTGAACCAGCGGAGCCTGACACTGCCCGCTGTGGGACTGCTCCAGGGCTGCGTTGGACTCAGGAAGCTCTTCGTCCATGGTACCACACATGAGCATTTCCTGACCTTCTTCTTGAAGGTGCCAAATTTGAGGGACATGCAGTTACGGGAGGACTACTATCCCGCACCAGAGAGTGATATGATGAACACGGAAATGCGAGCTGAGTCTTGGCTCCGGTTCGAGAATCAGCTGAACAGCAGGCTAATTGAGGATTAATGGTGAATTTGGTGAACTGTGAGAGTATCAGATGAGTACAGAGAGGTGCTGATTTCAGATGGGACTGAAGCAAGTAGAATTGATGCGGGGGGATGGTGCTGCGCGTTGGATGTGGATGATGATAAGCTGCTTGTGATCATGGAGGTAGTCGAAGACAGTGCTTTGTCCATCCAACAAACATCGGTGATCTTTTGTTGCTTTTTTTTTAAAAAAATAAAAATGTATAATAAGAGTGATGCAGAATTCAGATATTTGCAAGAGTTGCTACGATAAACTAGGATTTGTGGGAATTTTGCAGGGATGTTTTTTTTTCTCCCTTTTTTTGAGCTGAGTCCAGTTGAACACCGGCAGGGTAAAGTGGCATTGGTCTTGTGAGCTGTAACCATTTACGTGGTTCTGTAAAAAGAAATAAAAAATGTCATTTAATTGTCGTTCTTATGCTCTATTTTCGCAGTGCTGCCATAAGTCCATAACACGAACCGATGATAGTCGCGTCCAGAAAATAAAGAGTTGGTCACATCTAAAATTGAGGAATGATCATTACGCAAGAAACATGGCAACTTGATCCATAAACATGTAGTAGTATCATTGATTTTTTTTTTTGTTGAAGTACTATACTGTATTTCCCTCCCCCACCCCACCCCCAAATTATTTTCCAGCTCCTGCACAGGTTTGGCAAGTTGGTCCTGCACAGGCGTTCCATGTGAAGCAACTATGTTCTGCAAGATGAGAGCGCTACCAGGATCAAGCACAGCAATCATAAACTCCTACTCCTGCAGGCGTCAAAAAGCAAGCTTAGAAATGTCCGCCAATCCTGCCATTTGCTGGCTCTCGTTTATTTCCATCAAATTTCTAATTTTGGCACTATATAAAAAGAAGATTTTCTGTCATATAAAACTTGCGGTACATGCATAGAGTACTAAATATTGACGAAATAAAAAACTAATTACACAGTTTGGTTGTACTCTACGAAAGACGAACGTTTTGAGTCTAATTAGTCAACGATTAGATAATTATTATCAAATATAAACAAAACGTGCGCTACAGTGTTATAGATTCCGGCGGCGCTAAATCTGCCAGCGAACTAAACGGGGCCCTGGTTTGTTCTCTCCTCTCCCTGCAGACTGCAGCGAGATCCTCGAAGGTGCCGTCGCTTTGCTTCACTCCCCTTACTGGCCGCATGGATATGTGACGAGAACGACGTGCCGAACAAGATCGGCATCCAACACGGAGAGAAAGATCTCGCCACTACCACGAGCCGCCGCCGTACGGCAGCGCGTCCGGCGCCGTGTTGGAGATAATGCCGGGCGACCGCGGCAGGGGTTTCTTCGTCTTTTGTGAGGGCAAATCCGGGGGATTCTTGGTGCCCCTCTTCGCCCAATCCATCTATTTTTCTTTCGCGCTAGTGAACTTTGGCAGTTGGAGGAGGGAAAGGAGAATACTTACGCAAATAGAAAGTGCGAACAAAGTAGTCAACTTACTCAATCACCAGTGCTCTCATCTTTGTCTTTTGAATTTCTTAAAAAATAAGGAATGAATGGAGTTAGGAGAAAGGGTTGAGCTGGTCCTGATCCATGAGCAGGGCGGCGCCCGCCGCTAGTGCCTTTCCGTCCAGCTGCAGCTGGAGGCCTCACGGATCAGGGAACGGAATGCCGCTACTACACAAGTTAAAGGCAGCAGCCCTCTAGAAAGGAGCAGATTTTAGTAGTAGGTACTGTAGGTAGTAGAGCAGAAGCTTCCTCCGTCGCCTCTCGTCTTGCGCCACGTCGACGGCTTTGGTGGCTGGCTCGCGTGATTGGGCGGGTGACAGGGACGCGCGCGCGCATGAAATGCATCCACCAATGTTTCGTTCTTCGCTGAGAATTGAAAAAATAACTTTCAGGAATGGAAGCAAGCAGCCCTCTGATTTAAAGTACAACTTCCAGAGATGAAGGTATAGTAGGTAGTAGGAGTAGAGAAGTTTCCTCCAAAATTTCTCGTCTTGCGCCACGTCGACGGCTTTGGTTTTATTTCGCGTGATTGGGCGGGTGACAGGGACGCGCGCGCGCATGAAATGCATCCACCAATGTTTCGTTCTTCGCTGAGAATTTTGAAATAACTTCTCAGGAATTAGCAAGTGATAGGTACAACTTCCAGAGATGAATGGTATAGTCAATAGTGAGTTAAAGTTCAGAGTTGTTGCTAGTATTTGGGAACGTGAAGGAGCAAGGCCGTGTTTAGTTCGGCCGATTCGGTGCCGATGAAATTATTATATCGTTTTGTTTTTATTTGGTAATAATTGTTCAATCGTTGATTAATTAGGCTCAAAACGTTCGTCTCGTAAAGTACAACTAAACTGTACAATTAGTTTTTGATTTTATTAATATTTAGTACTCCATGCATGTACTGGTACTATAAGTTTGATATGACGGAGAATCTTCTTTTTGTATAGTGTCAAAATTAGGAATTCGGTGAACTA